GGACCCCAGGGTCATGTCCACGGCGATCCTGTCAGCACAACATCTACCTTCTCTCTTGTCCTCCGTCCCTGCTGCCTCCCTCACCCCATCATGCAGCATCATGAGATTCCGAAGCAGCTCACCTCCCACCCCATCTCTGCAGCAGCACTTGCTCTAATGCCCAGCTAATAGTTCTCGGTTTTAGATACTGTCCCTATGCATCCTATAAATCAGAATCCAATTACCATGGTGAGAAAATTGGAAGCAAATTTAATAAGCTCAGACCCCTCCCACATGCTGTGCCTTCATTCTTCTCCTTCCAGTAATGAGAACTCTAAGGAAAAAGCCCCTTTTCTATGACTCAGAGTCCGTTCTCCCAATTCCTCATGGTGGGCCCCTGATGACTGACTGGTAAGAGAAGGGGGCTTCTTTAAGTTGCTCTTTTCCTGCCTACATGAAGGGCTAGTGTCCTTCATTTGTTCAACCAGCAGTTACTAAAACACTCTCCCCCACCAAGCATGGCCATGGGCTGTTCAAAAGCTACTCACCCTGGAGGACAACGTTGTCTTAACTGGTAGCATCTAAGCTACAAGGCATGATGGAAACATAAAGGCATCCTAACTCATTCAGGTTGAGTGCCACAAAAGAGCCAGGAGTCTAGTGTGGATCAGTGGCCTTGGGTTTGGGAGTGGCTGCATACTAGCAGCATCAGTAAGTGATGCTGATTGCCAGAAAGATGGTAAGACAGGAATCCTGTGATTGAAGTCACTGGGAAAAAGAGGGATGGAACCTGGGGTGGGGAGTTGGTTAGGAGGGGACTGTGTTCCAACATGACAGACGGACATACAGGGAGAGGGCTGCACCATGTGGGCAGGTGTTTGGCCTGACTTCAGAAACAAGTTTCTGCTTGAACCCTGAGCTTGAACCCACAAACTTTATCTGGTCAACCAAGGGCCAGCTAACACTCAGGTTTCCACATCTGAGGGGGCATCAGAACCCTATGCATTTGCTGAGACATGGACTGCTGGGCTCCACCCCCAGTGTTTCTGATGCAGTGGTTCTGCTTGAGGCCCAGGAATCTGCATTCCTAACAAGTTCCCTGGCAATCCTGAGGCCTCTGGGCTGCTGGTTTGGGAAACTAGACTCTGAGCATCATTGTTCTAAACATCTTGTGGAGCAAACCATGATGCATGGGGCCGTGGTATCAGCACTGCCTAGGAGCTTATTAGAATTGCAGAGCCTCTGGCTCCATCCAAAACCTGCTGAACAAGTCTGTCACAAGCTCCTCAGAAGATCCGCTTGTTTGCCTAGTAAGTGTGAGAAGCACTTACTTGGAGCGGTGTCCTCGGTCCTGGTTGCTCATTAGACTCGCTTGAGGAGTTTAGCAAAGAGACACTTCAGGGAGAAGAAGTCTGGGTATCGGGATTTTTTTTTTCAAGCAAAGCTCCCCAAATGCTTCTTATAAAAATTCTGAGCTGAGAACGACCAAGGCCAATGCTTCTAACACTCCACATTCCCGTGACTTTGATTCTGCTCACTCCCACATCTTTGGCCTTGATCTTGACTTGGGCATTCACCTCTGCTCTTGGAACCTCAGCCTAAACAGGCCTAACAACTTAGTGGCCCACTTCATTACTTTCCCCAGGAATTGGGACACCAGAATCCCTTCCCCCTGGGGCCTTGGTCGCATCTCCTGCCTGGCATATTCAGTTTTCCAGTACAAATCTCCATTTGTCTCCCCTCTAGCAGTTTCACCTTGAACGTACCCCGTGCAACAGCACAGCTGAAAACTTACCACGGAACAGGTACATACATAGCTATTACATATAATACTCCCCAAACTCATGCAGGTGTGTTAATCCAAAGCCCTAAGTTAAATGTTAATGAATTAATATCAGAGGAACAAGGGTGCAAACTTGACCTAGTTATGGTACTGGGATGGAGGGCAGAGGGGAAGCCCCTTAGTTTATTGAGGACTTGCCCTGGGAAGGCAGTTTTTGAAAACTCTTCCTTTCTCAACTTTCTGGTTCATCACACAATTGTTACTCCATACCAGCTCTACCAGTGCCAGTCTCCTCTGGACCCCAAGCTAACAGAGCTGCCAGTCCCGGACTGTGAATCTGCAGACCATTGGCCAAAAGAAACCTTCTATCCTAAGTTGCTCCTTTGAGGAATCTTAGAGAAAGCAATGAAAAGCTAACTGTCACACTGCCATGTGTAAATTCTATTTAGTCCCTATTAGGTAGGATCATGGTTATTTTTAGCCCTACTTTTTCAAAGGAGAAAATTGAGCTACAAAGATGCTGCTCAGCAGCCCAGCCAGGATTGGACCCAGGGCAGGCTGATCCCAGAGTCTGTCTTGAATCCCTAGCAGCATTCACCTCTGTTTCACTCGACTTACTGGCAAGGCTGGCCCCCTCCTATTGCTGGTGAAAGGGTGGGTAAAGCATGTTGACATTCTATTATTGAGAACTTCAACAAACAAAAGCATGGCTAGGGTGACAGGAGTATCTCTCACTGTAATTTTGTTCCATGGAAGACACAGAGCAACATCAATGGATACTTTCAGTTGTCTCAACTTGGAGGAGGGGCTTTCAAAGCAGAGGCCAGGGATGCTGCTATATATCCTACAATGTACTTAACACCTACAACCAAAATGATCCAGCCTACACTGTAGGCTGCTACTGCTGCTGATTCTGCTGGGGTCTATATGATACAGGTGACCCAGTAGCCTCAGCTGGTTAAGGCAGAGAAAGGAAAAGCCCGCAAATGAACCCCAGGTCTCTGCCACTCCAGGCATTCAGGCCCCAGGTATTATAATAGGATGATGTCAGAATATAACAGGTGGACTACAGGACTTGAGCACAAGGTCACAGCCATACTTTCCCTGAGAAGCAAGGGCTGTAGCTGGGAGACACTATGAGCAGGATACCACCACCCAGTGGGGCCCATTTGGAGGACAGACACACAGTAACGTCTAGAGTTCTCATCAGCCCGGAGTGACACCGGCAAGGGCTCAGCCCACCACCAAGCTTGGTCCAGACATATCTGATTCCCAGGACATCCTCTTGCACTGCCAGCAGGGAGCCTGGTACCCTCCAGGTGCTCAGCTGGTCCCATGTGCTAGCCCTCACCCTCATTCCCTGGCCTGCCCTCATCTTTCTGGTTTAGAGGAAGCTCCACACACTCTGAAATGCTCTAAGGAGCACACTGAGGCAGACTCACAACACACACACACACACACACACACACACACACACTCTCTCTCTCTCTCTCTCTCTCTCTCTCTCTCTCTCCCTCCCCCCCTTTATGTCTTCCCAAAAGAGGTCCACAGTCCACCTAAAACCTCTCTTGCCTTTTCACCACAAACCCAATGATCACCTTCCTTTCACAGATGGAACCGACCAGCCTAGGTGTAGAGCTGGGACCTGGGCTCCTTGCAGATGATGGAGCTCAGTTCATCAACCACCACCATCACATCAACCAGCACTTGCAAAGCACTCACTTCTGCCACTCAGATTGCAGAAGAGCATGGGTGAAAACATCAGTCCTGCTCAGGGATCCTCAAGCACCTGCCAGTTCAGGGTTCCTCTTGGTGCCTCCTTTCTGCAGGTGTGTGTGGCAGGAGAGGGTCACAGATTCTCTCTGAGGACTCTCACCCAGATGTGCCAGCAACCTCCAGGTGTCCCTTTGTCAGGAGGACCTTGGCATCTGGGCAAGGGACAAGGGAGGGACCACCTGTCTGAGGACAGCTCAGCCTATTGCCCTACACTTCCTCTCCTTCCTAGAGACACCAGAAGTGTCTCCTGGGTCCCTCCAGAGAAGTTACATTCACAGACTCACGTGGAAGCACCATCATGGTCTCCCATCCACCTCTCTCACTAGAACTGAGCAGAGCTCAGGACTCGGGCTCCTTTGGGGGTGCTGGTGCTGAAAAGGGACTGGCTGCATCCCTCCCGGGGATGTGTGCTACAGAAGACCAGGGTTCTCAGTTGTTCTAATTTCTGCCCATGCAAGTGCAATGGGGAAAACTGTTCAAGGGGAAAACTCTGCCTACCGGCCAGCCTTCCCATAACAACAACTGACGTACCTCCAGACCATCAATACTCATGAAAACTGCCTGGTGCCCTTTTCAGAAGGCCCGGTCCTTACAAAGTGAGTACCCAAGGACCCAAACAAACCCAGAGAGCCCAGAAGCAAAGTCAGTACTGATGTAGTCCAGTTGATCACCGCCCCTTGGCCCCGCACCCCTGTATGCCCATCTGCTGGTTGGGGTGCCCACAAAGTCAGTTTTCTGCAGCAGATAAGAAACACGCCCACATGGGTTGTGGGCACCTCTGGGGTTTGGAGAAGCCGGGATCTGGGCTGACCTGTTGGTTCAGGCCTCACCAAGAAGTATAAGGATTGCTATGACTCTTCGTGCAGGAAAATAGCATTTCCTGCATACTCTCAGGCCTGATTTTGACCACTTTCTGTGGATTTGACCTGCCCAGCAGGTCCCGTGGGCAGGTAGGTGGGCAGGCAAGCAGCGGGAGCAACAGTGAGTGAGGAAGTTCTTTGGGCTTCTCACCTGTCATCACATACATGGGCTTTGACAAGAGGCACCTCTCCCAGAGTCATAAAAGAGACCCCCAGCCTGACTTCCCTGAGAGTCTGATTGCCCAATCCTCCTCACTTTGAAAGTTGGGCCCAGCTGTGGCAATCTGCCCAGGGCAGGAGAAAACAGGCCTTGGTGCCAGGAGTTCAGAACAGGTGTACACAGGCTGACCCCAGGGACGGCAGCAGGTATAGGAGGCCTCTCCGCAGGTGGACAGAGGAGGTTTGGAAAGGTTCCCAGCACCAGGAAGGGTATTTGTCACATCACGACCCCTATGGTGTCAAGCTAGCAGCAAGTGGCCGGCCTGCCCCCTGCCATTCCTGGTGCAGGTTTTGGCATGGCACAGAGCCTGCCTGTAAATCATGGTTGCATCGTGACGGCAGGGGTGAGGGTGGAGGTGGGAGTGAGGGAGGGGAGGAGGTACCTCTGATGGCGAGTGTCCGGGACAACCCGGTTGCTAGGTATCCGCTCGCTCTCCCGCTGGTTGAAGGCATGCAGCTTATAGGGGTCGTCACCAATGCGCCACTTTTTGGCATTCAGGTACAGCCGCTCGTCAAATTGGTCCCACGGATCATCCCAGTCATCATCAGAAGGCTGTGGGACAGGAATGGGAAGACTGTGAGAACGGCTCCCTGCCCTCTATGAGCCCGCTCCACTACCAGCCCACAGCAGTCCTGTGGCCAACAGAGGCATTCTACCAGCCAGCGTTTGCTTTGGCTTCACAGCCTGGCCAAGTTTGCGCCCAGGGACATCAACACTCTTCCTTCTAGGGGATACCTGATCTGAGCACCAAATAGCTCAAGCCTTCCAGGTCCATCTAAAGATGCAGTATCTCAATAGAGAATTTGCTAATAGGATCTTGACCTGGAACTGGGGTGGTGGGGCAACTGCTATCCTGGGGCCAGCACTATCACTCAGTAGGAGATGCTCATTCATGTTAACTGATCCTAATTGTCCCAAGTTTTTCCAGCCAGCTGGCTAAGAGGAGAGTGGAAAGATGCCCACCCCATCACAACATGGCCAAACTGTATGCACCTGCTGCATCTGGGGAGGCCCAGGGCAGGAGCAGCAGACAGCAGTGCAGGTGCTCAGCTCATGAGACAGCAGAGTGGCTGATCCAGCTGATATATTCATCTCAGGCACAGGCACAGTGGTGATCTTATCTGGTAACTGTTCTCTCCCTCTCCCTCTTTCTGTCTCTCTGTTATCTCCTTTTGAAATAGCATTCTCCTACTAACAGCACAAAATGAAGCTCTGGGAAACAGTGATTTTTATCCAATAATTGATTTTATTAATGCCCAGTGATACTGCTGCTGCTACAGATCACACGGGAGGGAGTTGGGGGTGGGACATGAAACCACCAGCCTATGCCATGTTGCAATCTGACATCTGTCAGTTGCAGTGTGACATCATCCTGGTGTGGCCCTGGCATCATATCTTGTGGGAAGAGTCACAGTACTGTGTTCCCTTAGCTCATTTTCAAATCACTCTAAATAAGTTGTGAACCTCACAGTACTCTGAACGGTGCAGGAAGACATGGAGTTAGAAGATTCTGCTTCCAAAGGGGCTGGAAGGTTGCACGGGGGCAGGTGTAGAGACAAGATGAGTTTCATGACACAGGCTCAATGACAGGGTGGTGACACACAGCAAGGGGAAGGGGGTAGAAGGACAACTCCAAGGATAAGGAATCAAATGAATTGATCTTGAAGGAGGAGAAGAGATTTTACTTTGCTGAAGATGAGACAGAGAAAGGACACAGTGCTGTGAAAAGCCAGCAAAAACACAGTAATTAATCAGGGCTCTCGGGAGGAACATGGAATGAATAGGATGCCTGGGTATGCGTAAGTTTATGCAGGAAGAGATCCATTACAAAGAACTGAGAATTGGCTTATGCGGTGATAGAGGATGACAGTTCCTCCGAGCCCAAGAGCTTCTGCTCGTGATGAAGACACTCAGAAGAGCTGATGATTCAGCTCAAGTTTGAGGACAGAAGAGAATCCATGTCCCAGTTCAAGGGCAGTTGGGCAGGGAGAGTTCCCGCTTGGATTTTATGTCCCACTTGCACCTCTAAGGGATCCAATTGGGACCCACCCACACTAGGGAGAACGACCAGCTCAACACAGGAGATTGAGTACCCTGCAGCCAAATGTAAACCTAGAATCCTCTTCATATAGGCACACGTGTCCAGGACAGTGTTTGACCAAATGCCTGCACACCCCACTGCAAGCATAAGTGAATGCATGAAGGGAGGTCCATGGAGCATGGTCTGTCCAGGGAGTGGCTAGTCAGGAATGGGGAGCCAGAAGGGAGATGACAAAGAGAGCAAGAGTGAAAGCAGACTCCACAACACAGCTGGGTCTGTGGGATGCAGGTCAGAGAGACATGAACTTTGGCCACACAGGAAGGAAGGAATAGAGGGAAAGAGAACCATTACCAAGAGATCAGTGAGCAAGTAACCTCAACACTCCCCATCCCAACTTGAGGATAAGGGACGCCTGGACTGGGTCCTGTTGGATGATTCTATCCCATCAGCTGCAAAGGCAGGCAGAGAGGCTAACAAGCCCCTGTAACAATGCATACAAGGAAGAGGCACATGATGCAACTGCTCTCTAGCAACGTCAACCAGACACTAAGGACCAGGCAGGTGGCAGGCCAGTGTTGGTTCAGCCTGGCCGTCTTCATCCATCAGGGCAGCGCAACATGCTGGGCATCCTGGCATGAACTGTCCTCCAAGAGATAGGACCCAAGCAGTGTACTGGGCACCAGAATCTGGAGGAGCAGGAGAGCTGATCACAGACAGCAGGTGACAGGTCCGCAGCAGGTGTCACTGGCAGGACAGAAGGGCATTGCAGAGCTTGGTCCCAGTCTGCTGCTCTAAGACCCAGCAAGCTGCAGCCTGTGCTGGGAGCAGGGCTTTCTACAATGACACAGGGATGTCCGGCACAACATAAAACTGTGTTCCAAATCACCACAGTTACACTCTACCTTGCATGTAAACTGTTTAGGGAGATCTCACAAGTCCCAGTCCTGCAGCAGGAGATCTGCTTGGTTGAGGGCTTGTCCAGGGCCCAGCCAATAAATGAGGGAACTGCAGCCTTCATCACCATGAAGATCCTCCCAGTACCACAGACAGAACCCCATCAGGGTAACTGCCTCTGCTGGGGATCAGGGGGCAGCAGAGAAGATGCCCCAGGAGGACTCACAGAGAACCCAAGTCAGGCTGAGGGAAGATGAGTAGCCTGCACTGTCCTGCAGACATAGCCAGTGGGGGTGGAATGGGGGGCAAGACGGAGGGTCCCATGGCTTCTGGTAGACTGCTGACCTCACCTGGTTCTCCCAGATGGAAGTAGAATTGGCTCTTGAGCTCTACAACCTTGCAGTCCCCAAACAGTGTTCCTTGGGAGGGCAGGAGGTGGGGTTTCCTGGCCTAGCCTTCCAGTTGCAAGACACTGGTCTTCTGCAGACCCCCATATTGGCCCCCAGGATAGGACATGGACACTAGGCTCTGGATTCTGTTTCCTGGCTCACATCAATGTCCAAGCAAGTATCGGGCCCATCACTCTCACTTTCACACCCCTCCCTTTGGGAAAGGAGAATGCATGCCCAGGACCCTCAAATATCCATCACTAAACCCGGGCCCACTCCTATGTGGCCTCACCTTGGTCTCCCAGCTCCCCAGGCAAGCTGCAGGCTTCATTTCTGGCCATCACTGATGCTGTGGAGATGGACCGTATTTCAAAACGCAAGGTCAACACCATCCACAGGAAATCAAGACATCATCTTTTAACTGGCAGACGTCTCGTTAAGTCTGCCAAACCACTGACCAAGCCCGCAGCTTCAATCCTTTGGCATCAAAAGTGAAAGCTCAACATCATGTCCCTTAAGCTGCTTCTCTTCTCTCCTCCCACCTCGTTTCCAGGAGAAATCCCAAACCCCCTTTCTGGGCTCCTTGTCTCCGGTTCCTGTTCCAACTGCTTATCCGGCTCTGAAGCCACACTGCATCCTTCCCTCCCGTTGGCTTTTGCATACGTCTCTAATTTCTCTTTTTGCCCCCTTCTCTTCTTTTCCCACTTGTATTCTATTATTTCTGTCTTGTGGTCCTAAGTCTCCCCCTTTTTATCCCTTTTAAACCAAGAAGCTCTCTCTTTCCCTTGGGAAAGCTTCTACCTTACCCTGAAGTGTGTCTGATCTTTAATAGAATTTCTCCAGCTCATCCCATAGCAGCGCAGCAGCAGCTTAGGGAGGTGCTTTCTATGCATCATAAACCTTTACATTGAATCTTCACAATAACAGAGACTCACAGCATCCTTCCAAAATTGAGGAAGCTGAAGGAGAAAAAAAAATTACAAATATCAGGCTCAGTGTTACCCAGCTCCTAAGTGCTGGAGCTGGGATTTGAACCCAGGCAGCCTGAGTCCTGTTCCCAAGAGCTTCATCAATGCCTTGTCACAGCCATTACCATTTTCTTGGGCCACCTGCAAAGGCCCAGTTATCTACACGCTCCCATCAAAGCCTCAGTCAACTCTATTCAGCGCCTGGCGGGGGTGGGAGTCTTCTTTCAACTCTCGCTTGCACAGCCTTGAAACCATCCACCCATCCACTTTCCCCTCCCCTTGCTGAGTGGAGCCTCCCAGGAGCAAGGGTATAGCTCACAGTGAGAGCACAAAAAGACCATGTTCCACAGCAGAGTGGGAAGATGCTAGGCAGACACAAGAGGTCAGAAATTAAAAACTGGCACAACATCATATTTAAAGATACTCTAATTCACCTCTCCATCCAATGCTGGAAACTAGCTTAACACCACATTGCCCAGTTCAACCAGGCACTCCGAGCTCCCAAGCAGACCATTCCAACCTTCCAAAAGACTGGCTTCTAGATGCTTCCTTCTTAGTATTCTTAATATGTCTCGTGATACTATCTTCCTTTTCCCCTGGCAGCCAATGGCTGCTCATCTAACATTCCTCTTGCCTATCCTTCAGGTATTTGATGACAACTGTTGTGTCACCCAGGTCTTCCCATGCTTGGGGCCATCACATGAGACCTGAAAATGAGAAAGCAGAAGGCATGCATTGAAAATGTGAGCTATTTTAGTTCAACTGAAGTCAGAGATTCAAGGAAGGAACTCAAAGCCTGTGGAAGCCCCTCTATGCATGAGGAGTGAAGGGAGATGCTGTCTGCCATGCAGGCCAACCTTCACAGGAAGACCTCAGGTGCAGAAGCTGTCCTGCTTCAACACTGGGCCTATGGCAATGTCCGCCACTTCCTGGGCACCTGCCACATTCCCGTGGTCAACACTCAGCTGGGATTTCTTAGACAATCCTATTATCCCGACCCCCATCACGTTTCCGCAGAAGGGTTTTCTTCTAAGAAAATAAAACAGGGGGTAGAGCCTGGCACAGACATCAGGACAGGATGGCACTTCCGCCCTCCCCAGGGCACTGTCGTGAGGGATTGTAAGCTCTGCCTGGGCTTCCTTCCCTCCAGTTCACACAGCTAAGTGTCTGTCTCAGCTGCTCTTGCCAGCAGACCAAGTTCAGCCAGCCGTGGAACCCTGAGTTCCCACCCCCGGGCACCTGGGGTTGTTTCCAGAATGA